TCCAGAAAATATGTTTCTGAAGTTTTCAAAATTTTGACCGATTACAATACTTTTCACCTTACACTATGTGTGCGGAAAAGTAAAAGAGGGTCCATGAATGAAAAAATTAAATGGGGAGCACTTATGGGGAAAATAAAAAATACGTCTGGAGGGTTTTTCATGCCCTATCGAATGCCGAAAACCCGAACTCTCTATCTTTTCTGGTTTTCTCTAAAATCACTGAACAAACATATATATATATATATCTTACTATTCCATAGCTTAATGTATAAATCTACGTTTCACATTAAGCAATTATCTTCCAAATATTAAAAAAACTTTTTCAACGCCATTAAGTGTATTATTTCAATTGGTTTAATAAATGCAAAAACAATTTTGATAAAAATAACATAAAAAAAACAAAAAAAATTTAAATAAATTTCGAAATGGTGAATGTTAAAACGAAATGGAAAAAACTTGAAATCTTTATTACCGATATCAATTTGACATTTGGTAATCACGGTATTCACATTTTTAGTACAAATAAACTTCAAATAAGTAAGTAATTGTCGTATTTGAAAATAGATAGGTATTATGACAATTCATTGGTATTCATTCATTCTCTATTGTGTCTACCCCCTAGCAACACATACTACAATTTCCAAACAATCCTTATTAATTTACTTGCTATGCAGTTACGGTAATACGGTCTATCAACACAGTCTTGAATCAAGCGACAAACGCTGCTTGTTTATGTTTGTATTTGTTATAACAAATACAAACTGGAAAATATCTGTATGAAAAGACCGGTTCGTCACAAGTCACCAAAACACTCTTGCCGGCGATGTTTTATATGTGAATGAAAACGACATAAAAGGCGGTTCGATGACGTTAGCGTGGACTGGAAAGTGAATACGCACAAAAATCGTATTGGAAAGAATCTTGCGCGTTTTCGATGCGAAACCATAACGAAGCTGATTCTAAGTTTGTTTTGCTTTCGATGCGACAAACAATTCAAGTTCAGTGGAATTGGTTTGGGTTCAAAGCTATCGAGTACAAGACGTACGATTAATGCAATTCACTCGTACTTTGTAAAACTGAAACTTCAAAAAAGGTAAATATTGCGATTTTTTCATCAAAAAAATATTTTTTTCCCGAAAGATTTGTTTTTTATAATATTTTTTTTTTTTTTTGAAAAACTTTATTTTTTTCTTAAACCTGTGAATTTCTAATAAATTAAAATGAATGATTTTTTTCTTCGAATTTTGGTTAAAATAGCTTAGGCGAAGAATTCCTAACAATTGAATTATTTTGCCTATAAAAATCACTTCCGTCTTTAGAGTCTTTCGTAGAATCTGGAATTCTAAGATCGAAAAAAATGACATTTCTAAGAAAAATTTTGTAAGTCGACTCACAATTATAATACATACAAGCATAAAACAAGCGCCTAACAGCACAGCTTTCATTCGAACATCCAATTCCAATGGGAAAGTTATACCGTAATAATGTCTTCTTCAATGTCTAATAATAATTTTTTGGATATTCTTCCAATTTGAGTGCCATCCATTAGAAGAATCTGCAGGAGTGATTTTCATTATTATTATCAAACATAATGTGAGAAAAGGTAAAATTGATGTCTTACTTTGAATTCAGCATCACCAAAGAGACTTGATTTAAAGAATGGCGCTTCGATTCGTAAAACAGGTGTATTTTCATGATTTTTAACTGTGAAGCTATGATTTAGAAATGACCAGTCTTCTTTGACGCGTCCGATTACTTTACCAAGAGGTGCTGATACTTCGATTTAATCACGATAACCAACACCGATGCGTCGATAAAAATGCATCACTTCGTGGCTTTGAATGTTCATTACTTTCACGTCGAACGGACGAGATGCGCCAAAACTTCCTCGGGCACAGCAATTTGGCTCTTCAGTCTCCCAATAAATCTTTTTTTAAATTAATTCACAAAAGTAAAATTAATGGAAAGAACACGTTTAAAATATTGCAAGAAGAACAGTTTAATTGACTCACATTTTGTCCGGCGGAATTTTTGACGGTGAATGTATCGTTTGGTGCCAGAAAATGGACCCGCTCTTTTACCATTAAATGGTCGATCTGCGTCAAATATCCCAAACCTAAGATAAAAATGGTTATTATTTATCTAATCATGACGGGCGCGACCATTGGTGTCTATTCCTGACGGAAATTGACAGAAGTAAAATGTAAAATTTAAGAAAGTAATCTGACCTTTAAAAAAAAAGTTGAATTGGTTGTAAACCGGAGAATGTTTAAATTTACACAAAAATACATGTATTATCCAGATGAAAACAACTACGTTTTATATTGAACAATATTTTAATCTAAATTCCATTGAAATCAGTTTTTTAATGACTGATAAGAGAGTGAATGTTTCGCAAGATTTAAACAGCTTGGATTAAAAATAGATTTCAAATAAAATTGCGACTGTTTTGTTTGTAAACATTTTGATTTGCAAACAAAGCAAAAGTCACGAATTCGCGATATGGATTTGTGTACAAAGTAACAAAGTTGAAAAATAAATTACATGCATTAATGCGCGAGACAATCAAGGAACTCATTAAAACACAATGGCAAATTTGACTGAACATCAATTATTTCTGCTTGATCTCGATCACTTCGTTGAGATAAATATAGATACTGTGGTGGCCTCATGGAACTCTAAAAATATAGTGCAAACAAATTGAGTCAATTCTGATTTCTCAATTGAGCTATTCGAATTAACAGTAAATTCGACGCATTTTGAACACAATATAAAAAAATTTGGCACAAAATATGTCTTTCTGTTTCGATTTGAAGAGTAAATTTCCGAAATGAGTCGTTCCCATATTTCAAAATCCCCCCAAAAATACTTACATACGGCGGCGGCGGTGTACGTGGTACAACATTGCTGTGACAATCCATTGTTGACTTATATGTTCCAAACGAAAATAGTTCGAAATGTTTCGATTCGACTTGAATTGCCAGTAGTCTATAGTACCGGTCGACTGTGTTCAGACTGATTAATTTCATGAATCAACGCCTCAGTTTTACTGTCACCACATAATGTAACACAATCAGCTGATCCGGCGTCTGTTTTTCTCCGCGCTAAATCTTTGTTTTGATGCAATGATGAAATGCCAAGTCAAACATTGTTTTGTGAAATAGCAAATGATTTAAAA